TGTGGAAATTTGTACGTCAATGTCTTATAATTATAGACGTAGAATAGTGCGTTTTTAAAAATTCGAATGATCTTTCGAAAAGTGTGTCAGTGAAAGCTTGTTTTAATCTATTGTATTGCGAAGCTTCCATTTTTTAACTTTAAGCTTCAGTCGTAGTTCTAGTGTTAGAAACGAAAAGAACTTTTGATACTGTAACGGCTGTATTTTGTTAAGAACAAATGCTAAACAAATTACATGACCTCAGAGTCAATATACTTTTTCCACGTGGAATCACTTCTCGTGCGCTTATATAATACTTTCCATCTTACATACAATCATTATAAAATTGCATTTAAACAAGCTTCGTGGAAATTTAATTTAATACGTCAATGTGTCTTTCTAAAGAAAGAAGTGAAATTAAATGATACAGAGAGGAAAAAATACTTTCAGGGTCACAATAGGATAATCGCGTTGTTGAACGACCCGCTACGACCCGAGGACAACGTGTCAGTGATCGTGGATCGTTGCGGCGAAGCGATCGATATCGCCCACGTGAAACGAAGAAATCCCTACGCCTTGCAGTTCTCCATTCCGGACAGATGCTTAGAGGTGTCGATGTTGGTCGGTGTTCGTATATCGAAAAACGGTTGTCCACTCGGTGTGAGGCAAGTGAAATGCGAGAGCAGGCTCAGGGAACTCGATCAGATCCTCAGAGCACACGACAATCCCCTAGAATTTATGTGCCAGGTAAACATGCTAAAATGGAAGCTCGATGGCTTTGTTGAAGGAACTCTTACGAGCACGTGGATCGATTGATAAAATTCGAATTTTACCTGTAGACCTTTGGCTTCAATCCGGGTGACCGAGAGAAACTGGATAACTGGATGGTCCACGCGTTTCAACGAAACGTTCCGCCGCACTTCAACCTTCTGTCCACGCCCAGTGGCGTGGTGTCTACTCAGAAAGTTCACTCGAGTGAGTATTCTCTGCTTTCATCATTGACAAACTGTTCGTCAAACTGTAAGATTAACCGTTGCTCGTTTTACTTGCTGGACTGGCAGGAAGGCTGGTTGGTAAGGGCTCACAGAGAATCAGAATGGATCCTCCCTTGCAAATTCCTTGCAAAGCAGAATTTGATTTGAATTTAATTTGCCAGAGTTGGATCCTTAAATTACAATTTCCAGATTTTTAAGTAGCCTGAATTTTAATTACAAAATGATGTGAAATTCTTAAATTTAATTTAGGCCCCGAAGAGAATCCGACACTGTTGCATTTCGCTGCCCGTTTCGGCCTGGAGAGATTAGCCTGGCAGCTGCTGGAGTGTCCAGGCGGTGACATAGCGTGCGATCTGAGGAACGTGTCGGAACTCACACCTGCGGATCTTGCAGAGCAGGCGGGACACGCGAGATTAGCGCATCAGCTTCGTGGCTACATGGTACAAAAACATCGCCTTTAAAGGCGACGTCACAATTAGTCCAATGGAACCGGTACTTCCGCGATATTTCTCTATTCCTAATTGCAACTGTCCTAATTGGACGATCCATTGTCTATTTTCCTCCAAATAGTCGTCCGTAGACGCTTCCAATTGAAAGCATGAATCAGCTAGAATCAGTCAAAGTTAATTCACATCAGTTGGAATTAGTCGGAATCGGTTAGAGTTAATTGTGATTTATTAAATAATTAATTAATCTACGTTCTATTGAATTCAGTTAAGATCAATTGGGATTAACTCGGCGGTTCTAACTAATTCTCTCGGAGGGTTTCAATTATAATTGGAAAGGCCGATATTTATATATAGTTTTGAAATATCGTCCATTTTACTAGAAACCTTTTTGGGCTTGATCTATAGAATTTCCTTTCGATCTTTTGCGTTATGTCTCGATGAATTAACTGGCATCTTACTTTTGAATTGCATGATTCGGGCGTTTCCTTGAATCCTCGTGCGCGGCGCCGCAGCAAATGAACGAGTTCACCAACATGTACAGCTACTTGAAAGTGATTAGCGAGACCACCACAGATCAAGCGGCAAGTGAGTATCCCTCTCCTCCTGTTAAAAGTTTTGCATTACGTTTCCTTGTTCAGATTAATGTTTCAGTTTCGATATTTTCGAAAGAATCGTTCAATAACGAGATTGAAATGTTCTTCAGGCGCGGACCCATCGACGATTAACACACCAAACGACACCAATAACGACAAGGAGGATTATTGTCGTCCACGACCTTTGAGCGAAGTTTACTCGGTGCCACCAGCTGCAAGACCAATAACTTCTTTGATCCTATCGGGGCAATTTTCAGCAACACCCAGCCCAACCACCAGTAACCCCATTGAGGCAAATTACTCGATCGTACCAGCACCGACTCCCGTCATTGTCAGTCCATCGACGCCAACTTTTCCGACGACCATTTCGAATGGCCTTGAGCTCCCTCTTCAAGGTTACATGAAAATGCATCCAGCTGGTAGGCACTTTACTTATATATAGAAATATAAAATTAAGTCTTCGAATCTTGGAATTTTAGAATTTTTAGATCTTTGGATCTCCGACTCTTTGAATCACCGAGTCCTTGAATTATCATAACGTTTACATTTGAATTTTTGAAATATCCTCTATCCGCAATTTTTCCAAGCACTTTCAAGAAACGTGGATCTTTGGATCTTTAAATTTTTAGATCTTTGGAATTATAATATTTGACATAACATTTGAACTTTTGAAATACTCCAATCCGCAATTCTTCCAAAACTTCCTTTCTTCCGAAAATTCGATTTTTTCCAAATTTAACTGTTCAAGGACCAAAAACACCAACGTCGAGCGTAGCAAACCAGCAGCCACCTCGAACAGCGACGCCCACGCAGAGTCGTTCAGATTCACATCCCATGCTTGCTCGAGAAGAGAACAGCCAGTCTTCTTGCTCCTATGGCAGAGCAACTTCCAATTCTGGTAGTACGAAATCGAGAGAACCGTCCGGGCCTCAAGACGAATTGCTGGAAATCATAAACGATTTCAAGAACAACGTGTTCACGATAACGGAAGTCGAGAGACTAGTCGAGAACTGGAGGAATCGCAACGACGTCCAACAGAGCTTCAAAGACAAACAGAGGCAACTCACCGCGATGAGAGAAGAGTACGAAAGGATACAAAAGAGAATGAAAGAGGAAATGAAGGCCCCTACTCCTTTCGATAGAATCAAAAAGTTCTTCTCTAAAGGGAAAAAAGGTTCGTCAGAACGAAATAAACAATTTCATAAAAAATAAGCTTACTTTTTGTAGAAGTTTAAATGATTCTTGCGTTTCAATTTTGTAGACACGAAGGATTCCACGAACGGAAGTGACGATTCTTCTTCGACCAGCAAAGCGGAGAATGTGAATGGCGGACTGGCCGATCGTAGACCAGTCAGCAGTCTGAGCCTTCGTAGTGTTTCGAGTACGTACTTATAAAAACTACGTAATTTAAATCGTGAAATATTATTTGTAACAATACGATTCAAGTTTATTTTCTTCTAGAGGAAATGTTCTAATTAATTTCTATTTTCTTAGGCTCGTCTTCGTCTGGTAGAATGAGTACTGCCAGCGGATGCAGCGGGACCAGCTTAGGCGACAGTGGAACTCACTCTGACACTGAGGATCGACGAGTTAGTATTTAAAAAAAAAAAAAAAAACTACGATTGATATTTCAACAAAAAAGAAATTTAAAAACCTTTTTTACAAGTGAAAATATTTTTATTTCGTTGAAACTTCAAAATTAAAAAAAAAAAAAAAAAAACTGTTTCAGCTACAAAATGCCAGAGAGGACAAATCGGGCGTGATGTCGTACGAAATACCGCCGGCTCCAAAACCATTCACAGGAAGGTATTCCCCGGCGCTTAGGTATTCCCCATCTCCTCGTTCCTCGACTGGAAACGATCCAGACGTGAGACCATCTCAGCCATCACTAAGAGGCGAGGACACTGAATATTACATCGCCTTTCCACCTTCAGGATTACCCATTCACTGTGAGTAACCACAATCCGGAATTTTCAAAGCAAAAAATAAAACTGTGAAAATGACTTTGAAATATTAACAGTTCTAATTCTAATCGATATCCCAATCATTTATAAATTACGAACCGCAATTTTATTCTAAATGAAAAATTCTAAATATATAATACCTTTCAATAATGATCAACAGCTTTCAAGACAGAGGCCTCTTTAAAGGAACCAAAAACTCCAAGCTCGCCGTGCGATCATCCAAAGTACCTGGACATGATTCAAAATTCGTTGCCAGTAATTACCTCAGAGTCAGACTCTCCCAGACTTCCTGGCAATAGTTACGCAAACATCGACCCGCCTATGCTAAACCCAGCGCCAATACCGCCGGCTGGCATGTGCATTCCAACAAATTACGTGAACGTGGTTCCAGCATGCGTCAGCTCGTTTCAAGAAACTATTCAACGTCATCAGACTGAGCAGAGGCATTCACTTGACTTAAGTCATACGTCGGAGGCCACGAAGAATTCAACGAAAGTCGAGGCTGCCAATCAAACAGGGGAAAACAAGGTCGCTGATAGCGTACAGGGTCAAGGTCATGTCGTGAATGAAGCACAAAGTCAAAATAACGAGGAGTACGTGGAAACGAACCTAATGAATGATTCAGAAGGCGTGGACGTCCCAGATATTGGTAAACTACCAGAATACATGAACGTCGATATTCCTCAGGATCAAAAAACTGGCGCCACGAAGAAGATACCTGCACCTCCTGTTCCACCAAGAGGTAAAATGATTCTTTTTCCTTAATTAACTGTATTTAGTTGTAAACTGCATTTCTCAGTTATTAATTATTTAACATTTTTTCAATTAAATCTCTGTTTAAAGCTCTTTCAAATTTTTTTTTTTTTTTTTTT